CATTTTTAAATGGTATTTTTCTAAGTGTGGACCTCATTTTCAAAACAAAGTGTTTTGAAACTAATTTTGCAAACAGCTGTTGCAAAGGACAGCCCAGGCCAGGGACCTTTCGCATCTGTATCTCTGACCATGTCCCTGCAAAAGTGGTGTCAGCATGGAGGGTTCTGGGGTAGGTGCAAGAAGGGCTCATGACCCCCACAGGGCAGTAAAACAGCAGTTTTGAATTCTTGTTCTGTCCCAGTGTCCCCTCAAGCTCCTCCACCAGCTCAGACAAGCCAGCACCACTCTTCCTCAAGAAAACATGCAATTTCTGAAGTGATTTAAATCCAGTGATTTGGGGAACCTGCATGTTGGTGAAACAGACCCCACCCACACCTGAATCCCTTCCTGCTGCACCTGCTCCCCACCGTCTCCAGCCTTGGGACATTGTGGCATTTACCAGCAAAACCAACACATCTGTGGAGATGTTCTCAGTGGCACTTTGTGCATCTGCTTTAGATTGCTTTAAATTACAGCAAGGGGCCAGCTATGTTTAAGTGGGCTCAGAGGTGAGACCAAAGAAATGAGGCTTAAAATTCAAAGCAATCCGACCTGCCCTGCCATGGTGTAATGGTCTGAGTAAGGCTCTGGCATGGAGCCATCTCCCTGCCTCCTGGGAGAGATGCTTTAAAAGCTCCTCACATGGGCAGTTGAAATGATGTACACATGGGGAAAAAGAAAATAGTGTTTAATTGAAACTCTGTACATGTATATATGTTTTTAGGATAAACAAAACAGATTGGGCAAATATTTACTTCTGCCCCTACTGCTACAAAGCAAACTTTCCCACAGCTTTTGACAGAGATAATCTGTTTTTTAGCCATGATGGTGAATTTGTAATGACAAGGTTTCATTCTGAATGTTTCGGGATTTCCTGATTGGTTCTCATGCAATTATTTTGATTAACAATGAGGTTTTCAGACCAACTTGAAAGGATCTTGGAGCCTTAGGAAAAACCTGGCTCTTGATTATTCCTCTCACCGGGATTATTTTCTGCAGCTTTCTACCACTGGAATCAAGTTCTTTGGAAATCAAAGAAAACTACGTCTTAAAAATATTTCATATCTCCACCCCCCTCTGATAAGGGTTTCTTTAAGTTTAGAGAAATGCTTGTACCCCTGTCAAAAAAAAAAAAAAAAGAGAAAAGCATAGGATTGGAATAAGAATGAAATCCCAATGTAATTTTTAAATGAAAGTATGTATTTTTAATAAAAATAGATGAATGCTTTCGGTGGTCATTTCTGTGAGAAGGCAACATCTGAAAACAGAAACTGAGAAGTATTCAAGGCATTTCTGATTAAAAAAGAAATGAGATCTGATACTAGAAACCTCTGGATGTTTCTCTCATTTATAAACATAGGAGGGAGCTTAAGGAATTAGGAAACATCCATTTGTGCTGTTTACTCAGATTTCATTGTTCTGTTCTTATCACTTAGATTTTTTTACCCTTTTTCTAAGATGATGTGGAAATCTCATAGTGGCTTTAGAGTGTGCACGCTAGCAGATCCCCTCCTCACTGCCTGTCTCTGTACTGCAGGTGAGGGCATCTTTCTGCAGATGGGAACAGTCTTCAGGAGTTCCCATTCCTGGCACAAAATGCCATCAGTGGCAAGTATCCTTAATTAAAAGCAATGTATGATGTGCTTGGGCCCAGTGCATCCTAGGCAGGGTCCAAAGCAGTGGGGACTGCACCTCCTTGAACTGTCCCCACAGCTGCCCACAGCACACTGGGCTCACGGGCAGGTGAGAAATGAGACCTGGCTCCTGCTCACAAGAGATGCACCTGCAATAACCCACCCTCTGTGTTTTCAGCTGGGAAATTGCCAGCATTTAATGCAGCTGCTTACCTGGCACTGCTGGAGGGCTGGAGCTGCCTTTCCCCAGGGCGGGGCAGGGTCACCAGCACGGTGCCCACCCGGGCACTGCCACCCCTCCCCGAACTGCCGGGGGAGATGGAAGGTTGATGTCAACCAGGTGAGCCTAAACATCTGCAATGTAACACTGTGAGACGTCTGCTGCGACAGGTCTGGCATTCACCACGTCCTAGATTAATTTGTCACCTTATAATAATTTGAGTAGAATAGTGGATTTAAGTGTCATAGTGGCAGAACCCGGTGAGGATTGAAGGGGTGGTTTTGCTACAAGTTGAGAAGTCTGTAAATGGGAAAAAAAAAAATCAGTTTTTGCTTTCTTTGAAAGTGAAGCTTTCTGAGTTCAAGCAGTTAAGCCCAACCAAACTGTCCAAGTAAAGCAAACACACCAGCTCAAGGTAAGTACGTGTAGCAGCATATTTTCTTTCACACCACCAAAAGTGGAAATATAAGCTGTGTGTCTGATGTCATCTCCATACAGATGGGTTTGAAATGCTGGCTCCCATCTGAAACATCATTACTTTTACAGTGAACTTTTAAAAACTCTATTATTGCTGCTAATATTATGCGTATGTATTTTAAAAGTAATTTCCCCGGACTCCAATAAAACGTTCTACCAGGGTTTTGTTCTCTAAACAATTTTAACCCATATTTTTCCTTTTGGGGAGTACTTTTGGCCCCCAGGCAACACAGAAAAAAAAGTGCTGGCTAAGTAACACCAGATGCAGGAGAGACTGCTGGCCACTAGAGAGCTCCCAGATGAGAAGGCCTTACAGGTTGAAATACAAATATGTTTTGTAATGAAAGCAGAAACCCTCTTTTACTTTAGGGCACAGGGACCAGCCATGAAACACAGAAAGGTTTTTTGCTTAGGTTACAGGAAGAGGCATCATTATCCGTAATTACATTTTTTATACCTGAAATCAAAAGCCCCAAAGCCGTCCTCTCTCCAGAGCAAGGTTTGGAAAGTTATCTTAAATGTTGGTTTGTGCTGATCTCAGGAATGAATGGAAAGCTGCTGCAGCCCCTTAAGGGTGTCTGCACAGGGATTGTGTGTCAGCCACCATCTCGTGCCCCATCAATGGTGCAGCCTCAGAGATGCCACGTGTCACCTGGAATTACAGCACTGCAGTCACAGCCTCCTGCTCTGCAGAAAAAGGGCAAGGGGGCACCTCTTCCCTCTCTCTCCCTCATTCAGGCTCCTGTTACTGGGGACAAAAGTCACCTTTTGCATAACTCACAATGCCTGGGAGCTGAAGAGGTCTGCCCGTGGCATGTGCCGATGGTCCTTTGGGAATCACCTTTGAGATAGGAAGAGACTCTGCCAGGTGCACCCTTTCTGGAGGGACTGGCTGAGGGTCATGTTATTTATATTGGGCTAAAATGCACTGGATTGACTTAAGAATCTCAGCAAAGCCTGTGGCTGGGCAGCTCACAAGTGAAGCCCAGCCACAGGGTGCAGGGTGGGACGTGCTGGCAGCAGAGCCGTGGGTTACAGGAGCCTTGTGTTGGTTGTTTGCTGTGAGCACTTTGTCCCCAGTGGCTAGAACCCTTATGGGTTCCTGTGGGTGCGTGGGCTGGTGCACTGCAAAGGACGCTGAGGCTGAGCAGGGGTGGGCAGCAGTTAGGCTCAGCATGGCAAGTGCCAGTGCACCTGGGCCAGTGAGCACAGTGCTCACAGGGCACTGCAACACCCCGGGTAGAAAACCTCCAACTCAGCTTGGACCTGCTCCATTCCTGCTGGCCCCATGAAATGCTCCTGACCCTGCCATGTGTGGCCTCTCCTGTGACATCCCTTAGCCTGCCCGCCTGGCACATCCTGCTTTGGAGGAGGATGGTAAGTTCACACCTGTCCCTTTCCTGTGTCTGCCACCACAGCTGGGCAAGAGGGCAGCCTGTGTGTGGCAGCAAGAGTAGGCTTTTGTACTGAGCCATGATTTTATGTCTGGCAAATGGTGTTTGAAGAGGCCAGATCTAGCTTAGTTTCTGGGGTGGGGACAGGAGCCTATAACTTCCCATGTGCCATATCTGAACAGGCTGCAGAGAATAGTGAGGTGGCCGAGGGTGAGAGTGAGCCCACAGCCAGGGATGGGGGATGGGACTCAGTGCCTTGAAACCCAGAAAGCGTTTCCATTGCTCAACAGTCACACAGCAGAGGAGTGCAAGAGGAACATGGAGATCAGGGTTGACATCATCACGAAACCATTTTAAACATCTTGCTGGGAAAAACAGCAATTGGAGTTCCTGATGGCTGCCACTGCTGTGTCCTATACGTTTTGATAGGACCACATACAGGGTCTAAGGCTGGTGTGCAGAGAGCTGGAAACTCAGTGGGCTGCAAGGGCAAAGCAAAGGCAACTTCTTACCCATGCTCTTGCACAGGCATCCGGAGCTGGGCCACAAAACCCCATCACCAGGAAGCCCTCTCTGATCAAAGCAAGGAGAGACATGAGTGCCCAGCAATGGGCATGGCCAGGCTATGGCTGGCTGGGGTTTCCTGGCAGCAGGGAAGGGGCTGGGAATTTTTGGGGCCCCTTCCCAGTGTGCCCTTTCAGATCTCGGTATCTCCTCTGCCAGAAGCAATTTCCACCCCTTCAATTTCCCAGGGGCTTGGTGAGACAGAGCAAAAAGTGCTGTCAAAGGTTTTCCCCTTCCCTTCCAAAGTGTAAGCCCCTGGGATCCCCGGCAGGGATTTGGCAGCCACAGGAATGTGTGGGAATCCAGGAGACGTCAGGACAGGGCTTAGGCGTGTACATTGTTAAGAGAAATATCTCATCGAGGACTTCTTTGCATCACCCCCAAGTCTCAGAGCAAAACTGCCCCTGCCGACCCCCATATCCTGGTTTCTCTCAGGTGCGTCCTTGTTCTCATCAGCCTGGAACAAGGGTGTGCCCAGAGTCCCTGGCGAGGGATGAGCTCAGTGCCGCAGTGTTCGCCGATATTGTGCCTTTCAGGGCGTGAAGGAGTTAAACTTTTCAGATGGAAAGCGAACTGAAGATCAGAGCCGCAGCCTGGTGACCTCCCGCTGCTGGGACAGCAGCAGCCCGCAGTTCCATCCATCCATCCATCCACGCCCCCATCGGCGGCGCGGCCGGAGGAGCAGCGGGCGGTAGGTGCGAGGGGCGGCGGGGCTGGGCAGGGCGGGACCCCGGCCATGGGGCTGCAGGGCACGGCAGGGAGTGAGGGTCCGGGCCGGAGTGCCCGGACAGCTGTGCCCGTGCTGCTTGCAGAACAGGAATTGTTCAAAGGGAGCTTGTCCCGACACTGCCTGGGGAATTGTGATTTCTTGCCTTTTGGGACACCGAGTCGGCAGATACCGAGAGTTCGGGAAAAGCGTAGTTTTGTAGCTGAACTCCCTGCATGCAGCGAGGGAGGACACTGTGGGTTTATTTCTCCCTGATGAGAAAGGAATGACAGCTGCATTATTCAATCCTGTCCTCTGCTGATGGTCAGAGATTTACCAATAAATGCAAAAAGCAGCTGATGTCAGTTTACAGGATTTAAACAATGAAAGATTTTTATATAAGTGGAAATTGTTTGTTTTTTTTTCCCTTGAACTGAAATCAATGTGGTCTGAGTAGTATCAGGCATAGCCCGTTGTGCTAAGTTGTCTCTCTGGCTCTTCAGTTTATGGAGCCATAGCAGACTCTGTGGTTCAAAGATAAAGTGTCAGTAATCTGAAAGTTTATTTTGCAGTAATAAAGTGGTATTGTTTTACCTAAGGATGCATAAACATTTCCATATAATTTACATTGTAATGTAATCATTTTACATAATAGAATTATCTTATTCAGAAAGCATGGCTAAATCAAAAATCATAATAATTTCTGGTGAAGAAACAAGACTTACTTAACACAGTTAAAAGAAAAACAAGTAGAACCACAATCCTGTAAAACTAAAACCAAAGTAATATTCTGTTTCCTTCACTGCAAGAATATTCTCAACTCTTATGGCATTTTACATTTTTCCTTAGAAAGAAATCAGAAGACATATTTCCCTAAAATTTGAGTCTCTTTTTTAAACTGAAATCCTCTTGGGATGATGTTTGAAGGAGGTTGCCAGGCTGCTAAGTGGTAGTTTCTGCCCAGGCGAATGGAAGTGCAATCACCACATTTCAGTCAGAAAAGCTCAAATTGCTCTTTACTGGCCTCCCAGTCACTAGAACTTGATTCCCCCAAGGTACTTTCTGGCCAGAGATGAGGCTCTCGATGCAGGTCTTCTGGTAATTGCATTTGATTTATTCTTCCGTATCACGAAGAACAAGTCAGTGTTACTCTTTGGAAGTATGAACTCTTCCAAATGCTAACGTGTGGGGAGAAAGAAAGCAGCAATTTTTATTATCTTCTTAACAACAACCCACAGGAATGTGCTTTGCAATGAGTGCAGCTTACGAGTTCCCCTGCCTCAGCTCCAGTCTTTCCAGAGGGTTGCTGGCACAGCCAGGAACCCACCCCTCTGCTGACTGGCCAGATTAAAAATCCGTCAGGAGAAGCAATAATCCTAGAGGGGGGAAAGGAGGCCATGGGATACATTAAGAAAGGAGCTTTGAAAAGTCATTAGTAGAAATGCAGCGGAGAGCCCCACTCCTGAGGGCACCCCAGAGACAGCCTGTGGCTGCAAAGTAAGATCCATGGGGGATCTGGAGCATCGCTTGGGGCCAGGCAGCACCTGATGTAGGTGACATCACATGGTTCCCTGGTGATTTGTCTCTTAGGACTTCTGGGAAGGGATGCTGGGTGCTTTGGCTTTTGTCATTGATTTAACGCCCTTCCACAATGGTGCAGGACATCCCTGTCTGCCCCCTCTCTATAATTGATGTCACAGAGAAAATGTCCTAAGGCAGGTGGTAATTTGTCCCAGGGGAGCACAACCTGCCCAGGCTGGGGAGGTCTATTCAGCAGGGACTTGATACTACTCTCATTCAAGTAGATAATAAAACTGCCATTGAAGTTTTTCAATCACTGATGACTTTCTATGGACTCTCTATTACCACTGCAGCCATGCCCAGAGTGTGCGACTGTGCGGGGGGTGCACAGAGTAGAGAAGTCTGCTGTATCCTGTTTTTGTAAAGGGCTTTTCCTCTTAGTAGTTGTAGTGAAAACAAACATGTGGGAGAACAATGGGACTTTTTTTCTGTTTTCCTCTAGACTTTTAAATACAACAAATACACGATTAGAATTAAATAAAGTGCATTAACAAAAAAGGGATTCCTATATGGTAATGAGGAAAATAAGCGTAACTATGTGAACATACAATCACAAGCACAAAGGTCATTTGCCTTCTTGATCTCAGCCTGTGTTTTTGCAGTTGAAAGCCTATTCATTAGATACCTGTGAAAACAGGGCACTGGTAAAGAACAATGCCTGTGCCATAAAGCTGTTATCTGTAGGAGGGTTCACACCCCAGAGAAACACCCTTACATGCTGCTGGGCATTCTGCAGGCTTTGGAGTTGGCAACTCAGCAGGGACCAGAGGGGTGTCTGCAGAAAGGATTTCCTTTCTTCAGATAAACCCAGAGGTATTCTATTTGTTGTGTCTAAAATATTTTTCAATGAACAAAGATAATTCGAGCTGCTGTAAAAATGGAAGTAATATTAAGATGTTAATGCTTTCTAGGAGTAAAACTTGGCATCACTATTCATAGGATGAATGCTCCCAAGAAAACAGGAACGAGGATGAAATACAGTATGTAAGGTGGGACAACTGCCTTCAACTGTTCCTATTCAAATTACATTTTAGAGAAAAATCTGACATTGATTCTTCCTTCCATATGAGAGATGGAGGATGTACTGTAAGAGATAGTTAAGGGTCCGGTTAGCTATTCACGAGGCGAAGTTATTCCTGTTTGAACATATATTTCCCTACTGTGTGCTGCTTAGCTGCAGTTTTCTGCCATGAGTCACTTTTCCCCTGGGAAGTGGAAACCCCTGGCCTCTGACATTGCTCTCTCCATGCAGGTGGTGCAGCTCTTCACCACGTCTGGCCTTGACCTTCTCAGCAGCAGAGCAGGATCTCAAAGCCCTTCACCACAAGGTGGGTTTCCTGTGCCATAGTCATCACCCTCCTGCTGCTCTCCTTTTTCTTGTTGTCTTTTCTGAGTAGCAAATATCATACTGGGATTCAGTTTTCAAGTGTGTTTATATGGAATGAGATTATTCATGCTTCTGACAGAGCAATACTCCAATACTCCTCCAATACTCTTCTGACAGAGTAACTTGCACTTGACTTTTGAAAGATATCCTGGGCTCTCCAGGTATTAAAGACTTAGTTTCACTTTATCACCAGTTTAATAAACTGGTGTCACTGCTTTATTAAAGAAGGGCTGCTTGTCGTTGTTGCTTGAAGTGCAGCTGTGTGTGGACACCAAGGTGGGGACACCTTCCAGACCCCATCCGTCAGTGGGTAGATGAGAAAGGCTGAGGAATATCGGTAGGACCAGATTTCATCCCAGCGTGTTTTGTTTCTGTTGAGGTCAAAGTGCTTTGTGAAATCGATGTGAATTTGAAGGGATTATTTTAAGAGGGGGAGAAAGGGATAAGGTGCAGTAATATCAAAGTGCCACATTGAACATTATTTAGAGTGTAAGATTTTGGATTCTTTTTGAAACAACATATCTTTTCAAGAACTGGTTTGCTTTTATTCAGTTCTTACACATAATACAAAGTCAAAAAGAACAGTTTAGAAGCCTCTGAAACCAAGGGGAGCAGCTTTTTGCCATCATTCTCCTGAGAACTGTATGCATCAGGGTTTTGGCTCCAAGTCATAGTGATGCTAAATTTAAAAATCCTTTCACAACAGGGCTCAACCTTTCTCACAACTCTCTTCATAAAAAGCTCAATGTTGAAGTGATAATGTTCGGAACAAAGAACACTTAGTATAAACATTTAGCTTGTACTAAATAAATTACACTTGGTCTTACAGTCACGTTACTGGTGACAGCTTGTACAGCCTGCACCCTTCTCCTGTAATTCGCCAGAACGAAGCAAATATACATTGCTGGGAAAAATTTCTTGACTTTTGTCAAAGAGCCCAACTGCTGTCAGCAAACATATTGTGGGAATATGAATCTGGAAACAAACAGATCATTAGAGGGTGAGTTAAGGTTTTGTGATTTAATTCTAAACATGTTGAGTGAGTGAACCAGAGATATGCAATGCCAGAAAAACTGCGCACCAAAAGGATTTTTTTCTTTAATGAAAGCTGGTATTTGTATTGAATACAAAGTACTTTGGGTGACAAAGATGGTTATGTATGGAAAATATGAAGTTTCGCTTGTTTTGGAGAATTATGAAGATCACTTGATTAGAAGTAAGGTTGTGCCAATACAAGTTTAACATTCTTTCCTTGTGGAAATTATTCATCCATTTACAGAACTTTATTAAAGTACAATAATTTTCCAATTTAAAATGAGAATGTATACAGAGGTTCTCTGCTTGGACAGCAAGTAGTGATCTGGGCTTGTGCAGTCACATCTCACGTTGGATATAATCCGTATTTGCCCTGTTACAACTGTACCAAGGGTTGAGAGAATGAAACAACTTCCCCAATCAGAGCATCTTTTTTGGGAAAAACCCGAGCTGAGACTGTGGTACTGTCCAGCCTGCTCTGACTGCCGGAGCCACTTGGGTCAAGAACCATCAGGAAGGCAAGGAGCCAGAGGAGCTCTTTGGAGGTCTCCTGAGAGGACTTGTAAATCATCTGTGAATTCCTGAGAGGGCACAACTGTTCTCAGCCTTTTAGAGAAATGCAGTCATGTCGGGGCAGGAAAGAGGAAGGGAGCCCGGCCCCATTCTCCAGCATGAGACCCTGCATCCCTTGGGATGGACCTAGTGCCTGTGGCCAGGCTTGGGCCTTTTCTGGGCTTCCATTCTTGTGACACATTTCAAACCCTCCCCCGTGTCTGGACACATCACTGATGAACGGATATCCCCATCTGCCCCAGCCCCTGTTCTGCAGGGACAGCCACAAGGCGCCCTGTGTCCTTGTGTACTTTGGCAGAGGCTGGAGTTTTGCTCACCCAGGGAAAAGCTGCTTTGGTCTCTTCCCTTCCTGTAGCCAGACAGCTACTGTCTTGGCCTCACTGCCAGCCAAAAGGCAGCCTGAGCTGCTCTACTGTATTTGAGAGGAGAAGGCTATGGTGAGGGAGCAGCTGCACATCTCTACTTCAGAGTGTGCCAAAAAGCCCATGCAGACCTGGAAGACTTCAAAGCTGACTCCTCTGTCAGGAACCTATCCCCGGAGCACTTTCTTCAGACAATAGCAGCTCTGCCATTAATGGTTACCTGCACAATGTCAGTATAATATAAAGAGAATATCCTTTGAGATTGTCAGCCTTTTTGATTGTCCTTCTAGCACATCCAACTACATCCTGGATTTCCTCTAAAATTCAAGGATTTGCTTCCTGTGGTCTTCTTTGTATCCCATTGGCACCATTAACCTGAATACAAATAGGAAAGTATAAGACATTTTCCAGAGTCTTTGACAAGATAGCAAAACGCTTCTCTTTCTCAGGAGAAGAAAGATGTTTTTTATTGGAGTAAATGCCCCTGCAAAATTGGCTGCAGCCCCATGAGCTTGTGGCCGAGGCTCTGAGGTGGCAATGGAGCTCAAACTTGGAGGTGGCTTCTGCTGCCCCTTCTTCAGAAGGATCCCTTCATAACCATGCGCCAGAGTCTTTCTCAGTGCCATCAACACACCTTCTCTTGCCTGGCCCTTCTGCTGGGCTGTCTACAGTGTGGTCAGGCTTCCAGTTATTTCAGTACTGTGTTTTATATGCTCTTAATTTTATAACAAGATAGAGGTTGACCAACACTTTCGGCTATTTCCTGCCTTCTTTCACAACACTGGTTCAAATAGTTATTAAATCAAAAACTCCAGCCAGCTCTGTGACTCCAGCCCAGCACTCAGGGTATGGTTATTAAGGATGCACAGGATGTACTGATGCTCATCTCAGGGTGAAGAAACAGATTTTTGCTGCCCTTCTTTTCCCTCTAGGAGAGAGCACTGATGAAGGAGCAGGTTGCAAGAACATGAAAGCACTGCCTGGAAATTTTGGGCTGTTGCAAGAAGATACCAGACCATAATTTCAGAAAATTCTGAGGTTCAGAAGTGCTAATAGCCAGGGTAATGTGTTATTTATTGCAAACAGGCATCTCCAGTGGCCTCAAAGGCCTGGATGTCCGACTGCCCTGCTACACGATCAAAACCTCTCTCATAGTCTCAGTCCCAAATTCAGTCTCCAAAGCCAAACAGTGATGGTATCACATTCGCTTTTCATTTCTGTGTGGGCACTGTGCCCATGCAGTTATAACACAGCTGAGCCTGATTTTCATATAGTTCATTGTTTACTTATGACTTACTATAAAGTTGAACTTTTCTTATTTATGAGCAGCCATGAAGATATGGGATTTCATCCACTGGGTGATGACTCATTCATTGGGTTGGACTCTTTAGCTCCTAATACATGACATATTTTGGACTATTGGATGAAAAACATTTATGCATGAGCCCAAATTAAATGAGGTGAATGGAAATAATTAGTTGTTTGTTTTTAAAATCATGTTTGTAGCTGGGTTTGTGCTGGTTCAGCTCCGGGCTCGTTCTAGCAATGTGCACAAGGGCAGGATGAGTTGCTGTATGCTATGGTGGAGAGGTGATGAACAGCATTTCTGAGTCAGACGTCTAAACATGCCAGGGGCGACTTCGCTTTGTTTCTCTTGCACAAGGAAACTTTGTGGTGATGGAGCATTTGATACTTTCTATGAACTTTAATGACTGCAACATTTCTTGTGCTGCTGCAAACAATTTGAGAAACTAATTTGTAAAATCACTCATAAAAATCTCATGTTCTTTCTTTAATAATAAAACTCCTCGGCTGGAAAAAGAAATAGAAATCCTCAGAAAGAGCAGCTCAGCAGGAGTGTACTTCAGCCGCTCTTGTCTAGGGCATGCTCTCCCCTCCTGTGGGTGCGTCATGCCCCATGAGTTCAGCAGGAAGGATTCATGCACAGGCAGAAATATCGCCCCCGGTAACGCTCAACTACATAAGGAAAATGAAAAGTTTTTAAAACCTTTTCCCCCTCTTCCTGCCCCCAGCTCTGAGGGATGGGACTGGGACCATGGGAAATGTCGGAGTAACACTGTCGCAGTGAGCGGTTGTTAGGGCTTACAAGTTTTCACAGCCAGGAGCCCTGCCAGCAGAAATTTATGCCTCCATTTCAGCAGTAACGATGCTTCCCAGAGCTGTCAGCCGGCAGCGGGCTGGGAGGCAGCAGCGGGGCGTGTGGGGGACTCACCATGACATAACCACATTCCTGCAGCATGAGAAGATACTCCCAGGCCGCAGCAGGGGCAGCACAGCCCCTTCCCTGCTCCCACCCCACCACCGTGGTTCTCAAGGCCTGGGGAGTGCGGATGAGCCCATCGGCCGCGCAGGCTCTGGGTTATTTGGGGGCAGAGTAGCTGGAAAGTTGCCTGTTGGAAAAGGATCTAAGGGTGCTGGTTACAGCAGCTGAACACGAGCCAGCGTGTGCCCAGGTGGCCAAGAAGGCCAGTGGCATGCTGGCTGTATCAGCAATAGTGTGGCCAGCAGGACCAGGGCAGGGATTGTCCCCCTGTACTGGGCACTGTTGAGGCCACAGCTCAAATCCTGGGCTCAGTTTTGGGCCCCTCACTACACAAAAGACATTGAGGGGCTGCAGTGTGTCCAGAGAAGGGAAACAGAGCTGGGGAAGGGGCTGGGGCACAAGGCTCCTTGGGAGTGGCTGGGGGTGTTTAGGCTGGAGAAAAGGAGGCTTAGGGGGGACCTTCTCCCAGGTGTAACAAGTAACAGGACAGGAGGAAGCAGCCTCAAGTTGCACCAGGGGAGGTTTAGATTGGATATTAAGGAAAATTTCTTCACTAAAGGCACTGTCAAGCACTGGAATGGGCTGCCTAGTGCAGTGGTGGAATCACCATCCCTGGAGGTGTTTAAAAGCCATGCAGTTGCGGCACTGAGGTACTTAAGTTACGGGTAGCTTGACAGTGCCTGGTTA